CACTCACTGCCTTTCCTTTCTGTCAGGCCACGGGCCTGGGCGGAACGACGGGCGCAGGCCGCAGCTCGGAGCAGATCGAGAGGATGGAGCCGGTGAGAGACCGGGTCATCAGGGTCACGTTCAACGCGGACGTGCACGCCAGCATCCAGTGGAACTTCAGGCCCCAGCAGAGCGAAATCTACGTGAGTGACTCGGTTCTCGCCCTCGCACAGAACCGCTCGCAGCCGGGGGTCCTGCCTCCCGCGCTTCGGCCGCCTTCCACCCCGCGCACGCCGATCCGTCCGCTTGCGTGTCTGGGCCCTGATGTGGAAAAACACACAACTGGCGTTTCCGCACTACTTCCAGTTGAGAATTCTATGTACACCGTGAAGAGCGCGTGTATATACGTTAGAAATGTATATGGTGTAGCTGCATATCTAAACCGGTGGGGTTGTGCCAGACTTTCCCCCCTAGTACTTCCTCTTCTTGCCCCTCTCCTTGTAGGGCTGTTTTTATATCTAAGAAAATGAACACTTCCACTTTACTGTTTAAAATTAGTTCTCGGTAAAAATTCAAAAGGAGTCATGCTGCTTAATTGGTTTCTGAATTATAACCTCAAAAAAATCAAATGTACCCCATATATAAATCTGCATATTAAAAAAGCTCTGTGTGCTGCTGAACTGGCGAGAATAACGGAAGTCTCGTGGCAAACTGGGTAAGATTAAAAATGCACACATGTAACATTATGGGTGCTTTTTGATTTTGAATGGGGGTGAATTGTCTATAAGCGAAATATTTGTGAAGTAGTGAAACAGCAAAAGAGAAAATGAACTAATTCTCACTGAAGTCTAAAGAACTGCGTTTGAGGGGTGGAGGGCTGCAGTGGATTAAAAATCACCGTGCAATTACTTTATACAGGTGGTACCAGGAGAGACCGCACTGGCCTTTTATAAAGCGAAAAATCCTACTGACAAACCAATAATTGGAATCTCTACCTACAACGTAATACCCTTTGAAGCAGGACAGTATTTCAATAAAATACAAGTAAGTGTGAGCAGAGCAAAGATTCCATTTTCCTGTACGTGAATGAGAGTAGTTATCCATGAATTAACTTTTCTAATTTTAATCCTGGATACCATTCTTTGTATGCCAACATTTTAAGAAAATACCTTGATTTTTTCAAATGACAGCGCATGAGTTTGTTCCTAGCCTTACTGTCTTCATACCAAGCTGCAGTACGTGTCCAATTAGAGTGGCTCCCAAATATATGATATTTAGTACAACTGACGCTGAGGGCAGGTCGCAACGATGTGAGCTAGCCCGGCCAATTTGCACGTTCGGACACTTCATTAAAAGCTAATTTTTTTTTTTTTTCCCCTGTAATACAAGAGGAACAGAATTGCTGTCTTGTTGCTCACGTGGTTCATCCTTCCCAGGATTTCAGGGATGTACAGGGAGTGAGAGTTGATTTTAAAAGATGAAGCTTTCTCTCATGTTGGCAAAGAAAAAGTTTACCATAGCTATTATCTAACTGTTTGGGGTTTTTTTTCCTCCCCCATGCAGTGTTTTTGTTTTGAAGAACAGCGGCTAAATCCTCAAGAGGAAGTGGACATGCCTGTCTTTTTCTACATTGATCCAGAATTTGTACAGGACCCTAAAATGGCCAAAGTTGATTTGATCACCCTCTCTTACACCTTTTTTGAAGCAAAGGAAGGACAGAAGTTACCACTTCCTGGATATCAGTAATGGGCAATGTGTACACCATTTGACTTCTGCTACCCGACTACCAGTTTTGAAACCGTTTTTCCATGGAAGGAGAAACTGCAGGAGTACTGTGCAATATGAAATTATATTATTAAACCACCATGGGCACATGCTGCTGTTATGAAAGGATATAGTTCTATTTTTTTAAAAAAAAACACAAACCACCAACTTAT